CATTCATAAATGCAATTGACATAAGTAATTTTTAATATAATGTTATTAATTTTGTACATAACTGTTTTCACTAAATTGTTTTTATTTGTAGTTTAGTGTGTATAATATTTTGTTATATAATATGTAATCCACACGCCCCTCGTGGAAATCCGCATCTAGTTGACAAGGCCAGCTTGTGATCTTTTAAATAACGTTTTACCTACCTACCTACCCATCAATACACACTGACATAAAACATTTTGAATACGTTCCTCTACCCAAATACTATAATAGACAACTATATGATTTTTTTTTATCTAAACATATTTATTCGTTTGCCCCAAGAGCTATTTAAGCTCATCTAGGGGGCTCACGCCAATTTACATTTAAATACATTATATGGTGGTATAAAAATATAGACAGCCTGAGGATTAATAGTGACGAGCCAATCACGTGTCCATTTACTAATATTTGTTAAGTCACTATTAAGTTTGGCTGAACTTAATTGAGGATCTTCGACAATTTCTAACAAAGAAGTATCGTCCGCATAAAGAAAGCAAGTACTTTGAATATTATCAGTAATATCATTTATATAAACTAGAAATAGCAGTGGCCCAAGTACTGATCCCTGTGGCACTCCTGCTTCAACGTCTTTCCAATCAGACATGTTTCCATCAATAACTGCTCGTTGTTTTCTGTTTGTCAAATAGCTTTTAATCCAAGATAGTAATGGATCTCCAATACCTGAACGTTTCAACTTAAAAAGGAGACCTTTATGCCACACTTTGTCAAAAGCTTTACTTATATCCAAGAAGACCATATGCACTTCCTTTCCACGCTCTAAAGCCTCTTAAATTGTATGTACCATAAGTATGAGTTGATTCACAGTGGAATCCCCGGGACGAAACCCTGACTGCAAGGGAGTGAAAAAATTTATTTCTAATAAAAAATTATAAAGACGTTTAAATACTATTTTCTCAAGAATTTTGGACAACGATGTTAGTAAAGACACAGGACGATAATTACTTTTCAATTGACGATTATTTTTTTAAAAAATGGGAACAACATTTGCTAGTTTCCATACTGTTGGAAAACAGCCATTTACCAAAGAGATGTTAAAACATCTCGACAGAGATGAAGCAATGCCAATAGCACATATCTTCAACAGGGAATTTCCTATACTATCTACTCCACAAGCCTTCGATACATCGACACTTTTCAGTAAATCAAAAACTTCATTTTCACTAGTAGAAACCACTGACGTCTTAGCATTTTGCAACTCTATTAAATTTGGTAACGGTGCATCTGCATTTAGCAGCATACTCTGACTACAAAAATAATCATTCAATAAAGTTGCTTTATCCTTTGGGTCAGTAACTAAACAATCACCTTCCAATAAAATTGGTACAGTTGTTTGTATTGTAATTGTTTTTGTTTGTGGAAACACCACGTAAATTTATTACTGCAAAGCTTTCGATCCGTAAGCCCGGATCTTCATCAGTGCTATAAATAATATGTATTATTATTAGCACTGATGAAGATCCGGGCTTACGGATCGAAAGCTTTGCAGTAATAAATTTACGTGGTGTTTCCACAAACAAAAACAATTATATTTTATCGCCATGCAAACATTCAAAGAACTTATTGTTTGTATTGTATTCCCATAAAATTATTTAATTAAACCCCACCATTTTTTTTATCCCAACAACGGGTCCTGCAATTTATTATTCAAATTGTTATAATAAGACTTTTTACGTCTTCGTATAAGTGATGTAGTGAAATTTCTTTGAAGTCTATAGACTTCCCAATTCTCGGGAACCCTATTTTGACAGAATATTTTTAATAATCTATTTCGCTTCCTTACAGCTCTTCGGATCTTTGAATTCATCCAGGGTTTATCCCGAGGACGAACAACAACAATCCTATTAGGTACATACGTCTCACGAATACGTCGAAAACAGACCAACCATCTATTATATAAAGCATCAGCATCATCAACATCCGAACAAAAATATCATCCCAGTGTGTACAGTTAAGAGCATTAACTAAATTTTCCTCGTTTATTTTTTGTAAGTCCCATACAAAACGTTTATAACATCGAGGTTTAGCTAAAGAAATGTTCATTCTAGCAAATATGAAAGAGTGATCACAATTACTAGGAGGGCTTGCAGTGCCAGAATCAACAAAAAATCCTGGAGAATTTGTAATTATTAAATCCAATAAACTTGCACAATATGCCGTGACCCGAGTTGCCTCATTAATTATTTGATAAAGGTTATTGCATTCCATCCATCTGTATAATTTTATTCCAAAGTCACTATACCATCTACAGGATTTTCAATATCATAATGAGCGTTAAAATCTCCAAGAAGTAAAACATGTGTATTAGGTTTCAAATATATTTGATCTAAACAAGATTGCAAATAATTTAACAACGCAATATTACTAGCTTGGTTAGAATTTGGCGGTCGATAGCAAACACCACATACGAAAAAAAGCCGATTACTCTGCATTTCAACCCAGAGAACTTCTAAGCCATTCTGCTCCAAATCAAACCTGCGTTTAGCTACAATCGACAATGCTGTAAATAGTGAGACACCCCCAGCTCTCCGACCATCACTCCTATCCAAGCGAAACATTGGACTGAAACCAGGAATATTAAATAAATCGCTGGAAATAGAGTTATTTAACCACGTTTCGGAAACTGCAAAAATATCCAATTTGTGTTCGAGAACCAGAGAAACAATTTCTTCAAATTTATCAGAATCATTTAAACTTCTTGCATTAATATGCCCATTACAAACAGTTACACCCGGGTCAATCGCCTAAGCTTATTCCATCGATGTTGAAGAAAACAAAAGGAACATTGGAAAGAAAGGTCACAGAGGCATTCTACATTGAAAGAATGCAACCTGACCTGAACTCAAAGGATGAGCTGTGTAATATATGCTCATATATAGTAGCTATATATATATACATCAATTAGGTTGATTGACAGTTCACATCATAATCACTAGCACATGTGATTGTAATAGGAACCTCAAGGACTCGCTAGAACACCTAGACATAATCAGACGTGTATCTTTTACTTATGAATAAATCTTCTATAAGCACATAGAAGCATTACATGGTGTCAGGAGTGGGATGCCATAAAAAGCAGTAAACATGGCATCAGGAAACCTTCAATGGGCAGCGCCTAAACCTTTGAAATTAGACGGGAACGTCAGTGAAAACTTTCGCAAATTTGAGGAGCACTGGACGCTCTTCGAGAAGACTGAGCTAAAAGGACGGTCTGAAGAGGAAAGATGCTCATACTTTCTTCTATGCATTGGAGAGAAAGGCCGAGAAGTTCACAAGACCTTGACGTTCGCAACGCCAGAAACAGAGACAAACCAAGAGGGGGCAACAACGTGGAAGAGAACAACAAACGAGCTAAAATCAGCGTTTAAAACCTACTGTAATCCGAGAAAGAACATTACGTTCGAACGACACAAATTCAACATACGGAATCAAGACGAAAACGAAAGCATCGACCAGTATGTGACTGTTTTGCGCACTCTCGCAGCAACATGTGAATTTGAGACACTTCACGATGGGCTAATTCGTGACCGGATAGTTTGTGGAATTCGTAACCAAAGTATTAAAGAACGTCTACTTCGTGAATCCGAGTTAACCCTGCAGAAAACCTTGGATATATGCCGAGCATCCGAAGTATCTCGCAAGCAAGTGAAGTCGCTAAGCGATCAGAGTTCCGCCAATGTCGACGCATTGGGGAAAGACCAGCGAAAACACAATTACAGAGGGAATTTTCGCAACCACAACAACAAACCGGAAACGGAAAACCCCCAAACAAATCCTACGGTAATTGTGGTTGAGTTCACGAGCCAAAATCTTGCCCTGCATACGGGAAAAAGTGCAATAACTGTCAAAAACTAGGACACTTTGCCAAACTATGTCGATCGCAAGCTAAAAACCCAAAAAAATCGGTTCACGATGTAGATTATGAAAGCGACTCCTCGACGCACGGAATTGATATGGTGAAGACAGCTTTTTTGTAGGCTTCATGTGCACACTTAGACCCATATTTTACCGCCTGTTTTTTTAGAAAATCTCTATTATGTATTCTATCTTTTATTCTAGGCGTAATCCAGGGTATATGTTCATTTTTTACTTTACGGGTAATCTGGGGTGCGTGCATGTCTGCAACCGCTAAGAACCTTTCCTTCCAATCATTCCAAACAACATTTGGATCTTCACTATTTGATAGTGTTTCTAGTACCCTACTTAAATCATATTTAAATGCATCCACTTTATAATTCTTATATTTCCTTGTATTTATTATTTTTGGTTGTTTACGGGAAATAGATATTTTTCTTTGTATATAAATAAGACTATGGTCGCTGATTCCTACATGTTCTATTTCTGCTCCAACAATATTTTCAGGTTTATTAGTGAAGGCTAAATCAAGCAACGTAGCGGTATTATCTGTAATTCTAGTGTGTCCTTTTATTAATTGCTCAAATTGGTATCTGGTCGCAAGATCCTTTAGTTTACCGGTTTGCGCACTTCTGTTACTGTGGTTTGGGTCCCAATTACAGTTGTAATCGCCAATAAGGATGATTTCTTTATTTTCCGCGTCCATTTTCTTTAAACAATCTTCAAAATTTTCAAATTTTTCAGATCTGGTATCTGGTGGTCTATACCAGGCATTGATTAAGAATGGTTTAGATTTTGGCTTAGAGATTTCAACTGTGATTGCCTCCAGATGTTCGTTCTCTAGGTCATGCCTTTCCTGATAATTTATTACACTTCTTATATAGATAGCTACCCCACCACCATTTCTGTTTCTATCATTTCTGACTATATCGTAACCTCTTATATTCACATCCTGATTTGCTACAGTACTGTCTAACCTAGTTTCGTTTATACAAATTATATCATATTGTTGTTTTTCTAGGTGTATTCTTAATTGATCTATATTCTTAATTAAGCTTCTAATATTTAAATGCGCGATTTTAGAACCTCTTGTAGCAACTTTTCCTTTAGTAATACTGTTTGTATTATAATTTGATTTTTCATCATGCTTTTCTACTTCGTTATTGACATTTTTATCAACATTAAAACTACGCTCGATCGCATTGGAATGTCAGTTGTTTTCAACATTGTTTATGTAAGATAAAAAGTTTCTGGCCATTATCGACGTGCCTAATCTACTTAAATGAACCCCATAGGGATTCAAATGTTTAGTTTCAATGTTAGCATGGTCGATTACTTGGATATTTTTACTCTCACAGTAATCTATTAATGCCATGTTTACCTTTTCTATCTTTGTCTTGTATTCTGGTCTATCCGCTCTTGTAACCAGCAGTGACACAGCTACTTCAAAGGTCGGACTATCTTTCTGAATTATTTCGCATATGTCATTAATTCCTTTGACTAAATCTTTTGCTCTTTTGCTACCGATATCGTTTGTTCCCACATGTAATATTATTTTTTCCGGTTTTCTTTGCAAGCACGGTTTAATATGGTGCTTCATATCGTCAACGCCAGCTCCCCGATAAGTTTCTGCCCTTATTGCGGTTCTTCTAGAGATCTGACCATTTTTCTTAATTCCTCGAAGCAGTCGTTTACTATCTATATATTTTATCATTGAATCTCCGATTATAACTGTGCTTGCTTGGGTATTGCTCTTAAGTTTTCTTGTAGGAGCTGTTTCTCTTGTAATTTCGACCTCGTCACCCTCACTTTCTTCGATAGTCAACGGGGCATATTGGTTTGAGTTTAACACTGGATTTGTGGTATGGCTTTTCGTAATTACCGATGCTGCTTGTCTCTTCGTAGCTCTGGATGGTGCTTTCGTGTCTTTTTTATTTTTATTCATCTGAACTTTGGACCATGCGTTTCGATCGTCGCCAGTGTCCGGGCAAGTATCATTACGATCCGAGTGGAGCAAACGTATGGCAGTTAGAAGACTG